GAGAGAGAGAGAGGAGATGAGAGAGAGAGGAGGAGAGAGAGAGGAGGAGAGTGAGGGAGAGAGAGAGAGAGAGAGAGAGAGAGAGAGAAGAGAGAGGGAGAGGAGAGAGAGATCGAGAGAGAGAGAGAGAGAGAGAGAGAGAGAGCTGAGAGAGAGAGAGCAGAGACGGAGGATGAGAGATGCCTGAGAGGAGAGAGCGAGAGAGAGAGAGAGATTAATATATATATATATATATATATATATATATATATATATATATATATATATATGTTACAGGCTCCCCGGATGACCGGTTGAATGCGACGCGCTCGGATGTGGCGGGTCACTTTGGCCCCGCGAGATCTAAAAAATCAAGGGAGCATAAGGCGTCAAATTCGCCGTGTAGGTAGACCTCTATGTGAACTCATTTGTGTCTATTTTGGGTCCCTAGATTATCACCTTTGGGTCAAATTATGACAAACATTATTTGACCCGAATATATCATACACTTCATGGTCGCATCATTGTGATTTTTTTCTTAAAATCACTCGCTGGGAACCGCCTTTGCTGACAGCCGTGTCCTGGCGTTGACCTGCTGTCGATCGAGGTAAATTACCAACTTAAAGGTACACTACACTTATTACTTGCAAGGTAAAGCTCCTTCCTACGCCAAAGGCTCCGCTGTTCAACATCCTGCAGCTATACAAAGTTTGATGTGGTTACGCTGCACCCTTCGGACGCTATTTTGGAAAAAACCCTCTGGTGGGGATTAAATAGACCCAACCCGAGAGGCCTGGCAGCCAAAACGACTGCTGCAATTAACCTCTTGGTCGCTAGTTGCCAGTGGTAGGAACGTGAATAAAATAAACTTGCTTGATCCGATCAAAACAGCATGGTAACAAGGATCTCTGCATCCACGTGTGATGCCGGCGCATCACAATACATGTGGGTTGGTGTACCAGAAATCACGCTTGCACGACGTTTTGTTGGCAGTCAATTAACAACTGGCAAAAAACATCATACGGGAGTGCGGCGATCTGATACCTCGTTCAGGGCCGCAGATGTCATAGCGTACGTACGAGATGGTTTAATTTGCCGGAATCAAACGTCCGTCTATCTAAAATTCCCTACAAAATTTTGAAAGTATGTTCTTAACAATCAGCGAGGACCCCGGAGCCATCTCGGCCAATAGCCGGCGTGGTTGCAGCATGTAAGTAAAAATAGTCTTGTGGTTAACGCTAGGCTTATGCATTGAACGAAATGTTATACATTTAAAGACGTTGAAACAAAATCAACTATGATGAAATAAGTCCACTTACACATATTGGTATATTTTGAGCTGGAAAAAACTGCTTTAGACAAGATAATTCCTTTATTTAGTAGATATGTTCCTGAATACGTCATTGTTTGATATCGTACCTTGCACATTAATCGAGAGCCAATTGACGACCATTACATCCTGAAATCGTGCTCATGAATGTCAGATATGAACGATTCGGTAATTATGTTTTTCTTGATCGTCGCATGGCTAATGGAATAATGGGATTTCAATAACGGTAACATAGCGTCATCAATGCCTGGGTGACATCGGAATAATCTCCCGAAATAACCTGCACATCTTCGCGGGCGTGCAGCTCAGAAGGTAGAGGGGCTTAGGTCTTAAGAAGGGTAGGGCTGTGAACTGCACCGAATGATTTTCGAAATGACTATTTCAGCTCAAATCCCCATGCAAATGTGGAACACTCCCGTAAACTGTAGACAGACTTGAATGCACTTCATCAGGAGATGCCAATTTTCCCCGCTGCGGGCTTTGCTGCAACAGCCTCTAAAACATCCGAGTACCTGCATTTCACTGCCAACCATTTGTGGGCAACGGTGCTGTAGCTGAGGATCGACCCTACGCCTCGAGTGGCCGTGGGGGCAAGCCTGCGCTGGCTTGCGTTAGCCCGCTAGTCTGTCGCGTCTTCCGGCCGGGAATTCGCCGGTGAACCCCCGCCTTCGGCGCACGCAGCCTGGCTGACCGACTCCCCGGATTGGAGGGGGGGGGGGGGAACACCCAGCGTAAGCCAGCGTGGCCCCCCCCCCCCCCCTCCCCCGTCTGTGAGTCAGCCGGCAGGAGCGACCACCCGCTGAGCCGGCGCTGCTGCCGATAACACGCGGGGCTCGCCCGCGTTGTGCCCGGCCGGGACTAAACGACCGACAAAACCTTCTGACAACTCCGTGCTCTCAGCGTATGGAACCGGTTGCCAACAGACCCTCCCCACTTGGTGCGCCATGTTCGATAACCTACCACAATTAGTAGAAAGTGGCCTTGGATTAGGTCAAAGGTCACGAAAAACTCACGAATCCGCAAAAAATAGTTTGCAATCAACGCAATATCCAGGCATATTGATCGATCACCACAAAACCTTTAGCATTCGATGCACCATAGCCGATACACTACCCTACCAGAATATGACGAAATTCGGCCAGGTCAAAAATTACCCCCAAATACCCCAAAACGCCAAAATTAGCCGCACACAACTCCATAGTGTAAGCCCATTGGACGGATCACAACGGAATGCTCACCAATCGATCCGCGATATTTTAATTATGGCGCTATAGCTTATATTATATATCGTTTTATGCTGTTTTTTATTGTTTCGAAAAGTTCGTCATTTTAGGTGATGCCAAAGTCATCACCGATGCATCATCATCCGAAATTGGGTGCAGGCATTCCATATTACGAACTTTTGGGACCGATCACCGCGAACTATTCACCAACCGACGCGCCATGGTCGATCACCTGACCTTTGCAGAAGATCACAACCTTGGGCCAAGTTAAAGGTGAAGTTTGAAGCTAAAGGTGAAGTAGAGGTAAAGTTTACCATTTGATGCCACTTGGTCGACAATATATTTTGTTCAAAAGATGGTGACCTGGGATGAAGCTAAAGGTCATAAAAAATCTGCAGCTTATTTTGGTGATGTTGAGCATTTCTTATAGCCTTAAACCTTGCTAAAATCTACTATCTTCTGGAGGAGATGAAACATCGACCATGACCCATCGATTGGTGAAGCTTCTGTGGAGATCGGTCCCAAAGCATGGACGCCGGAGGATGACGTCATCTGCGGACTGGTTTTTCAGGTTTCGGAAATTATAGTGGTCTTTGACTTAACTGAAAGCCACCATCGCCCGGAAAGCACACGTTATTGACCATGGCACATCGACTGGTGAGAGCGTGGTGGCGATCAATCCTCTCGGCTCAGAGCACGGCGTTGTTAATAGGTTTCATCAGTAGTTTAGTCCCGGCCGAGCCGGCGTGCCGAGCAGCTCACCGCCAGGGGCGCATATAAACAGCGCTGACTGCGGGTATCAGCAGGGGGCGTGCAGTGGCCGGCGATACGCGGTGCTGGGCGGGCGGGCAGTCAGCGCTCGCTTCAACGAAGGTCGGTATTAGCCCCGAGAGACCTGCACGCGGACCCGTCACCAGACCATTTGGAGCGCTCTGTGGCAAGCGCCGGCCAGTACCGGAGCTTGGGGTGTAGATCTTTTTGGTCTTCTTTCAACATTGCGGAGCATAGCTCGCAAGATGACCCTCACTGTCATTAACTGAGTGGTTGATTGGTAGTTGCGTTTAAGGACAGTGCCGGTTATGCACGAGAGGTGTGCTGCGTCTCAAACATGAATACGTTGACTGAAATGTAGTCGGCTGGCTTATGATGGCATGAATGTCAAAATGAGCAAACTGCCTCGTTCGCCCCCAGATCGGCGCAGCCCAGGGAACATTGGTGTTGAGAACAGCCCTCCTCATTACATCATGCCAGGAGGTGGAGGTGGAGGTGGAGGAGGAGGTGGAGGAGGAGGCGGAGGCGGTGGCGGCGGCGGCGGTGGTGGTGGTGGTGGCGGCGGCGGTGGCGGCGGCGGTGGCGGTGAAGAATGAGGGCTATTGTGTATCTACGAGGGCCAGTCGATGCGGCCTCTTGTCAAATAAATGACAACCGAATATATTTGTTTAACCCTCGTCCAGATCCGCCGTTTTTTTTCATAACGCGGACTGGCTAGGGTTAAGGTCGGTGTAACCCGAACCACTGGCGTTTTCGGATTAAGAAGCATTGAGCAGAACGGAAAACAACGGCAGACTGGTCTCAACGAGAGTTGGGAGTTTGTTTGATGTCGCTGGGTCACTAAATGACCCCATTGTGTAAGAGCAAAATTTACCCGAAAATCGAGCATTTTCAGCTTTGCGCGCTCGTGTGTACGAGATCACGCATCGCAGTGGGATAAAACTTAAACAGACGTGTTGAATGTTCAATTCTCAGTACCTTGGTATGCAGTTTTATCTTTTTAAAACACACACACACTTATATATATATATATATATATATATATATATATATATGGTGTATGGCCGCGTTAATGTAAATCAATAGCGGTGTCTTGCCGCCGTGCGCGGTTCGCGGAATCATCGGTCCCGTCCGCCGCCCGCGGCGGACGAAGATCCCTGCAGTGTTTAAAAAAAAATTGCCGCTGCTCCGTGACCAGAAATGCTACGGGCACGTCGTTGGTGCCAAAACACGCACAATAGGTGCCACATAAGCTACGTAATGTTTGGGTGCGATTGCCCAACATGTCGGAGAGGCATCCTCAGAAAACCTCCGAGGAGAGAGTCGCATCGGCACCCCCTAGCCGGGCGAGGATGAATATTTCTAAGATGCATGCAAAACAATGACGTGCTTACGACCACGACCAAAACCCTTGAATGATCGAGTACAAAATAAACGCGCTCTAAATGACGTGTAGAGAAAAAACTGTTGAGACAAGAAAAGATGGGCAATGGTAAGGACTCTGGGAGAAATTGCCAAGGATGGAGACCTGACAACCCAGCGGATGGAGATGGAGACCTGACAACCCAGCGGGCAACGGAATTACGAATGGACCCGCAAAACTGCGACCCCAACTCACGTAGGAGATCGCCAGAGGTCATGAAATGTCCAGAAGGGCAATACATGCATGTCAAAATTATGCAATGCAATGCAAGAAATCGTCCGGGTCTTGACTCAGTCTGAGGCGGCGCACAGGGAAAGAGAGAAGCAGTTGCTGATACGGGATCAGATCATAAATCAATACTTGGAGCGGAAATCATGGAGCGCTCAGACCGTGCCTTGCTGCTGCCAGGCCACGCCGCATTCCAACTGACCTTTGGCCTCGGCGGGTGAGCCGCGCCGACACTTGTACAAACACTCCCGGGGCGGGGATTCCCCGGACTCGCAGAGACCGGCGAGTCAGCGCTGTTCTGTTACCCATCTCCACCGAAAGCGGGGATCATGTGCAGGTGGGGGGGGGGGGGGGGGGGGCAACCGCCTCAGTTGGCTCTCCGCGCTAGAGCAAGATGGGGAGGGGGGGGGGGGGGGGTTCCCGCGCTCCGTCGCCGCGGCTCTGATAAACGTCGGCCTGTATGGCTGCAGCCACATCGAGGGCGCGTCACGAACCGCCTCAGTTGGCTCTCGGCGCCAGACCGCGATAGGCGTATAGGAGGTGAGAGCTGCGCGGGCAAGGGCCGTTTCACTGTTGTAGACATGTGGCTGGACCGTGCCAATGTTTTATTCGAACGTTTTTTTACAAGACAGCATCTGATCTAGCCGATCAGCTGGCCTGAACAGCTAAAACCTGTCACATCCAGGAACATTTGTGTGTATTTTTCAGCGAATGTACTCAGCTTATCTTCCCGCCGTTTTAAAACGCGGCTGGGGTATATAGTCTTGAGATGACTCACCATGATCATGAAATGTTTCCAAATGATGCTCGAACTGTTCACAGCTGCCTGTGAGCTTGCACTTGCACGCATTGCAAGCATTGAACATGGAGGTGCATGTTCTGTTGTGAACGGCATTATGCTTAGACCTGTCATGATGATGATATGTCGATATATATATATATATATATATATATATATATATATATATACAATGTCGATGATAGACAATATGTGCCATGCCGTTTCTCAAAATCCCTAAAATTCATTGAGTTGACCGTATGTACATGCCAGTACCAAATTAGCCTTCGATTCCTTTCCGCAGCTATATTCCAAACTATATAAGGTAGTGCTCTCACCTTAATATAGGTTAGCAATGCCTTAGGCCCTTGGTTCTTCGCTATCGTAGGATCTGAGCTAAACGCAAGCAACCTTCAATGCGCCACAGACACTTATTTATCTAAGGTATCAGGCACCCATTTGATTCAATGCTTCAGGATGGTACTGATGCCCACGACCATGGACACTGTCTCCTAACGTCGATTGTTTCAAAAGGAACACAAATGGCTGTGTGAAACCTTTTGTATAGCGTCAGAAGCCGATGGATTTGTAAGCCTCCTCTTGCTGCAAGCAATTTGGTTTTGTACATCCTACGCGTTTCGTACGCAGCCTTAAATGAAAGATTATAGGTCCAAGGTCATGCTGGAAGGTGGCCATGGAACGATAGGTAAGATGCGTGAAGTCAATAGTGTGCTTTACTTCCTTTCGACGAAGTCGGCCTCGATGCTTGAGCACGTGGCATAGAGTAGCTCTCGACTCGACGCGAAACAACGCGGCAAATTTAAGAGCCAACTCTCTGAAGTCAGCCTCGGCGTACTCCTTCATTTGTTAGTTAGGTTTAAATGGTAAATAAACGTGGTACACCGTTCCAATATTGTTTGACACGTAAGTCTAAACAGCGTTTCTTTCCCGACATTCGGTGCTAGCCCGTTTTTCTGCTGTTCGCATGATGGTTGCGTCGAGCTGGTTACTAGGTTGGCTGCCTTGTGATATTGCTGTATGAACTTAGTCCGGTGACTCAGCTGCACACAGTTGTAAGAACGGTGTTGTAACAACCCAGGTGTTTTGAAAAGAAACGAGGCCAGTGCCAGTGACTGCATTTGTTTTACAGAAAACTTGTTCTGAAGCCGGTACCCACTCAGGCCCCGTATACATAAAGAAATGAATAGAAGAGACGGCGGCGGCGGTGGGGGAGGTGGAGGAGGCGGTGGAGGAGGAGGAGGAGGGGGAGGAGGAGGAGGAGGAAGCGGAGGTTACTACGGAGGAAGAGGTGGCGATGGAGGAGGAGCAGGAAGTACAGGAGGGGGATGGGGAGGTGGAGGAGGCGGAGGAGGAGGAGGAGGAGGTGGTGGAGCAGGAGGACAGTATGGAGGAGGTCAGCCCGGAGCTCCCGGAGCTGGGCCTGGAGGGGGTCAAGGAGGCCAGGGTGGCCCAAGTGCCAACTGGCGAGAGGAGGGAGGCTGGCCGCCACCAAGCAGCCGCTAAACAGGAGACATCTGCCCGAACAGACCTGGCTATTAGAACACTCATGCACTGGCGCATTGCAACGTGAGACACGCTGGTTATGAATGCTTCAAAGCTGTCGTGAGAGCTTGTGGAGCTAAATCAGCCGTGGACACGGCCATGTTGTAACTGCTACGGCGGCCGCTCCATGGCGCCATGCGCACGTTTGCAGGGGATCACCTGACACGACGCTGATTAGACATCGCCGACGAACAGTTTCGGGATACCGCAGGGCCCACTACCTTAATTGTTGGCTTGGAATGCCTTTGTTTGGGCTCAGGCTAATGCGTAACTTTAGTTTGTTGGAGTCGATCCCTACCACAGTTCAGGCCAATTCCGTTCCAACCGTCTATCGGTCTTATATCTGCATTGAAATATCCGCTGTGGTAATGACGTGCCTGCCCGTGTCATTGTCCTGGAAACCACAAATAGACACAAGCTGATGACATAATAAAAAAAAAATGAGTCGAAGGTTTCTGTCTCAGTGATGCGTGAGCTTCGACGAGAGAATCAGCGAGGATTTGTGGAAGTGAAGGCCTATTTGATATCGAGTTGGGATTCATGCATGCAAATCACAACAAGCGTTACGAAATTAGATCAAGTATATATGCTGGACTTTGGAGCAATCTCCAATCTCACTCAACTGCACATGTCCCTGCCCTCAAACGTCTGTTCCAGGGAACCGGCTCCCAGTTCAGGAACCAAGAAGTATCCAGGGAATGGTCTGGCACGGTTTTTGATAGATCTAGCATTAATCGTGACCCAGTGCCGGATTATTTGAGGTGGTCAGTGGGAAAAAACCCAATCTGGATTAACGCCGAGATAGCCAGCAAGAAATACAATTTATGCCTGGCGTTTTGCCGAGGGGGCCAGCATACGCTGATAGGTAACCTGAATGAATTGTACACACCCAGCACTACCCTTTAAGGATGTGCACGGACCACGCAGAAGCAAGAGCCCAGTTTAGCCACGCGATCCGGAGAAACCCAGTGTTCAAAGTTATTACGTTGGGTTAAAGGCATTCAATATAGCAGAACACACAGGCGTAGGAACGTTTCAAAAGTGGGGGGGGGGGGGGGGAACAAGCCCAGGGCGTACTTCAGGAACTTTTTTCTGGAAAACAGGCCAGGACGACCGGGGGAGGGTGGAGATGGAGGTTATCGCTCTTTATTCAAGTGTAATGGCCGCCATTCTAGATATGCATCTAGAGCTGTTTTTCACTGGTGCACACTCTTGCCCATACGACTCATCTTTGTCATTCGGGAAATAGGGATATCCAGCTTCCCAAAATTATTCCTCCATTTCAACGTTGTCTTTCCTGTGGAGCCGAAATTGCGCCAGCGGGTAGGCATTTTGGGTCATTGAGGAGGCATCTGCCTCCACAGGGTAGATGCCAGAATATGGCCTGAGCATAGGCTGGTGAAAATTTAAAAAAAAATGAATCGATGGCTCACAGTACAACAGATTTTGCATGCGCCTTCATTTCGCCGGCTGCTTTTCAAGAGGCAAACTTGTCGCGGCATTCTAGGCGGAAACAAATTCGGAAGCTTGAAACTGCCAAAAAACATGCGACAAAAGTCATACAACTGGAGATTCTCTTTTGAAAACCAAGGCACAGAATGAAGGCCATTCTGTCACATATTCCTTGTCTGGGCCCTGCTCCCGCCCGTTGTCGGCAGCCACTGTCCTGACCCGGCTGTCTCCGAATGACTGGCCGCGAACTGATGGTATGGCTGCTTTGTCGCACATTTCTGGAGCAGCATTGCTGTT